TCGTCGTTTCTTCTACTCATCGGAGGCGCCGATGCGGGCCTGTCTTCTCCGAAGACCTCACGTATCGTAGCCCTTTGTCTCATGACTCTGGTTTCAGTTCGAGTCCTGGATTTGAAAACTGTAGGATTAAATTCTTCAGTAGCTCCCAACTTGCCTCCAGTGTTGTTCAAAAAGGCATCTCGGAAATTAGTGATTGTTTGTTTCCTAAAGTCTAACGTAGAGTCTTCTGTTTTCCCATTGGGCACAGGCGTTGGCAACAATTCAAATTCCTTACCAGTTTTGGGAATAACTTTAGGCAAAACACTCTCATCCAGTTTATTATCATTTTTACCCTTTCGTTTGGTTTTCGACTTTGTACCATACTTCTGCATCAAAACATCAACTATGGAATTATTATTTTCTTTAGCGCGCATTTGATTCATTTTACTTGCCGAAGAGTATATCGTCGAAGACGATGCTTCAGAAATCGCACAATTAAAACTGGAATTCGAGTCTTGATCGCTTTCTTCCAGCCGTTTCACGCGAATCTCGGCCTTTTTGCACTCGTTTATGTCGACAATTGAAGATGGTGTTGGTGAATTTGGACAAGGATCAAGATCTGGCAAGGATGTGGATAATCTAGGCCAATGTGGGAGCCTAGTTACTGATATCAGACTGGCAGGCATACGTAAAGACTGTTTGTATTTATACACACCTTCTTCCCAACCGGGGTAAAAATCAGAGCCATCGCCGTAACGTATTTTTTGTGGTTTTGCATCGGCGGATGCATTTTTCGACGGACTGCCTTGAGATTTACTGGACTTTTAGTTTTGGTTTCTTTAACTTTTGTCTCTTTTGAAGGTGTTTTATCCTTATTTGCATTTACACCTTTTTTTGCTTCATTCAATTGTTTCCTGGTACGCAAACGAGTAACCTTCGTTTTTGCGGACTTTTCGACATCACTGTCTTCGCCATCGCTGCTACTTGTGTCTATTTTCCTCGTCGTAACGCGTTTTGATCCTTTTTACTTTTATCATCACCCGATATCGAATTTTTAACTTTAATTAAAGGCACATCTGAATCGTCACTGTCTGTATCTAATTTATCTGTAACGGGTTTCCTGATAAGTGTGTTGACAGGAATATCATCTTCATCCAAAGGTTCGATCTTTAGTTGAACGTTCAACAGCTCGTAGCATTTGTTTTCGGTTTTAACAATATTCACCAAGTCAGCAGTTTCATCCAAGGGCTCGACCTTAATCGCTGATAAAGGTTTCTCCATGCTAACAGTTTCCACTGTGACTTTTGTAACAGGTTGTGCTTGATCGATTTTCTTTTTGCGTCCCCGTCGTTTCTTGGCACCTGTAACCAATTCTTCGACAAACTGATCGCAGATGTTGCCCCAAATATCATCGCCGTCGAGCTTTTCAGTTTTGATAATGGACAACTTTTCTTCCATCAACTCAGGATTTGAGGGTTCTGGAGGTTTAATTAAGGTTGTCCCGTTGCATAAAGAACTTCTCCTGTCCTTTCTTAAATCGGGTAAATCCGTTTCGGAGCCGCTATCTCTAAAATCGTATACGGAAGTTTCGGAGGAACTTCTTAGTTTTTCGTCCTTGGACGGAATTTGCGCCGGCTTCTTCAATGTTTCAGCCGGCTCTATTATTATGCAATCATCATCTATTTCGGTTCTGCTAAAAACACGCTTTCTGGGCACGACGGCGACTTGTTTGACTTCGGAGAACTTTTGGCTTGTTGGGTGAAACCTTTCAACTCGGCTTTGGTGCGAATACGAGCCGCCAGAAGGGCGGCGATGCCACTATCCTCATTTTGAGGCTTCGGCTTTTTGTTTGGTGCATCACATTTTGTTGGTGTTGATTCTCGTCGACTTCAAATTTGATCGAGTCCACGGCTCTTGGCATTTGCAGTTTATAAGTCGACTTTGTATTGTCCAATTGCTGCTGTTGCAGTTGTAATTTCTCTTGCTGCTGCAGCAACTTGTTGCTTTCTATGGCTCTCAATTCTTTGTCCAATCGTGCACGTTCGGCCTCTTTGCTCTCAAGACTGCTCCTCAACAAATCTAATATTCTTTTATCCGCTCCTTGCTGTTGTTGTAATAATTTTCCGGGTATAGGCTGTTGCTGTTGTGGAGACTGTTTTGGTGGAATATTATTTTGTTGCAACAATGGCGTCAAAGCATAGTTCATATAACGATCTTCGTCGACATTGTACACACTAGAAGTAGGTGGCAATCTGTAATGTGCATAATCCGGATGCTGCTGAGGGTTACTACTAATCACATGAGTCGGCTGCCTTTGATTGTTCACAAGAGGCTGTCTATTGTTGACGACCGATTGATTTTCCATTTTTGGGATTTTGCCAGGTTGTTGATGCACTTGCGCAGTTTCAATAACCGGTAATCTTTTTCTATGCTGACTAAAGTTATGCTGCTGATTCAAATTATGTTGTTCATGGTGAGTGGCAGGAGCAGTACTATATTGTTGTCTATTTGGTACATGTTGTTGTTGTTGCAAAGGTTGTCTCACAAACTGTTGATTCTGCTGCGGCAACCTGCTCGAACTTGCATATTCTGTATGTTTTAACGTAGACACATTGAATTTTGGTAAAAAATCAACTTTGTGCGACGCAGGATTCATCATTGGCAACTGCTGAGGCACTTGAGTCGCCGTCGGCAATCTCTGGGAAACTGGAAGCCTGGGTACATACTTTTTGTATGCATCTACAGAAGCGTTCTGCTGAAGCTGAAAGTATTGCTGATGATCACTGTTGTTGCTGTTTGAATCATCTTTAGCTGTTGAATCAGCCGATGTCCGAACAGTTTTAACAGACAAATCTAAAGGTGATTCCCTTTTGTTTGCCATTGCTATTGTGTTGCTGGTGACACTATTGCATTTCAATAAGGCTCCGTGCTGTTGCGGAGTGACTTGTTGTTGCTGTTGATTTACAATGACCCTTTGCTGTTGATTTTGTTGCAGAGTTGGAGTGCTAAATCTCGGCACACCCTGTGGAACAGGTAGAGTCGATATATGTTGCTGCTGCACAGGCGTAGTAGGCCTACTTCTGTTCATCATTGTTTTGGGTTTTCTACCTGGTTGTTGCTGTTGATACAACTGCTGTTGTTGTGAAGGTTGTTGAGGATATTTAGCAAAAGCACCACTTTGTCCAGGCTGGTTGACGACAACTTTCTGCGGTTGCTGAGGATAACTTCCAACACTAGGATAAACAGTTTTGACTCCTGTAACTTTATTTCCTTGAACCGGTTGTTGTTGTTGTTGTTGTTGTTGGTATTGATATTGCTGAGGCGTCAACTGCTGCTGATGATGATAAGCCGTTTGTTGCTGGTTCACTCGATGTTCTGGTGCTTTCGTTTTGTATTGTTGATACTGCGTAATTTGTTCAGGTGTTTTTGTTTTATACGTAGGTTGCTGCTGTTGATGTTGATATTGTGGTTGTTGCACTGGTTGCTCCAATGTTTTAGTCTTATACACCACCTGTCCTGTACCATGATATTGTGTCGTCCGTTGTTGTTGAGGCTGCTTCAACTGCTCCGGTGTTTTGGTTTTATATCCCTGATGATATTGAGCATGTTGTACAGTGGGTTCAACAATTTTTGTTTTATAAGAAGCTTGTTGATACTGGTATTGTGCCTGCTGCTGATCGGGAGTCTTTGCTCTGTATTGCGGTTGCTGCAGTTTATATTGTTGTTGTTGTTGTTGTTGATGTTGCTGTTGAAGATTGTTGTATGAAGTTTGAGATTGTGGCGGAGCATATCTTGGCTGAGGTTGACCCGTAATAGACTTCTGATGGTTGTAATGAGATGGAACCATCGACGTCGGCGGTTGCTGAGCCTGCTGTGGAGGGTAGGCCGCCCTAAAATATAAAATATACACTTGTAATAAATAAATAAAAAATATACAATAGTTAGTTCGTTCCATAATCACACTCCCATGCTGAATTTTTAGTATATCGAAGCAATTGTTTTCATTATAAATACAATACAGTGAACACAATCCATCACTCGTTCCAGGACTCGTTTTTCTTAATAATAAAAAGATATGAAACATTTATTGCTAAAATCAATTATATCATCAAAAAATATAGCAAATTACTAAGTAAAAAATAACTACATTACTATATTAGTTCTTTAAAAGAATATGCTGATCAAATTTACTACTCGCACACTTTGGACATATTTTTCAATGATTTCACGCTTTAAGAGGCACACCTAGTGTAACGACGAAAATTTTGAGGGTATATTTATACATATTTTGACAAAAACACAGTCAAATTTTTTGAAATAAAATATAATTGAAAAATTATTGTGAACGCGTAGATAGCCTTGGAACATTAAATGATAGTTGGTTAAGAATAAGAGGACAGTCTATAGCATTATTCCAAAGTTTAAATAAGAACATAATTGTACAGATAAATCGACGTGAGGCAAGGGAAGGAATACCAAATTCTTTTAGTAAAGTGTTGTGGTCAAAGCCACGTTCAGGGTAAATTTTATATGTTTTATAATAAAGGTATTTCAGAAATATTCGCTGAACCTTCTCTATCGCATCAGAGTTTTTTATTTAATGAGGATACCAAATGATCGAACCATATTCTAATTTTGAACATACATTAGAATAGTACATGCAAAGAAGTGCATTGTTAGCATTGAATTGTTTACAATTTCTCAGTATCAAACCTAAAGATTTATGTGCTCTATTACAAATATCAGTTATATGATCAGTGAAAAACAAAACAGAATCAAATAAAACTCCCAAGTCTGATATTTTATTACACCTATCAATGCTGGTGTTAATGAGATTTTATAATCAAAATGTATTGGAACGCGCTTATGTGAAAAACTAAGAAATTTGCACTTTGATATATTTAAATGTAATTTGTTATAGACACACCAAGAGTGGAAAGAGTCAAATTGAAACTATAATAATAAGCAGTCATCAATAGAATTTATTTTGAGATATAGTTTGAGATCATCTGCAATTAATAACTGTGGACAGATAATAATATCAGATATGTCATTAATAAAAATAATAAATAGTAGTGGACCAAGAATGGATCCCTGAGGAACACCTGAACTGATATTTTCAATATTGCTCAAGAATCCATTAAGATAGACAAACTGTTTACGATTATGAAGATAACTCTTAAAAAACTAAATAAGTGAAGAATTAAGACCAATTTTAGATAATTTAGTAAGAAGAATGTTGTGATCAATTTTGTCAAAAGCTTTACTTAAAAGTCCATTAGTGTCAAGATTCTCAGCTATAAAATGTTTAATACAGATTAAATTTGTAATTGCAGAACGGGAAGGCATGAATCCATGTTGATTAGTAAAAATTAAAGATTTTACAGAAGGAATTAGTTCTCTATAAATAATTTTTTCAAATGCCTTAGCAAAGTTTGATAAAAGTGATATCGGCCTGTAATTAGTAATAAGAGATGCAAAAAAAATTTGATAACGATCATTTGTCTCCGAGTAATCGCTGCAGCAAATTCGAAAAATGCTGTTTCGAGAAAAACGCGTTTAAAAATAAAATGATCATTATACTATACAATATCTCAATTGCTCTTGGTTTATAATACAAAAAGGCGGAAGGGAGATATTTGACAACCTTAATATATACACTTAAATGGCTGCAACTCAAAAACTATTTGAGATATCGATTTAAAATTTTAGTATGCTATTTTTAAAGGCATGGCCTATCGAAATAAGGGAAAATTCAAAATTCACTTTTTAAAAATTTCACACTAGGTGTGCCCCTTAACTAAATCACTTACCTCGAGACATTATTCGTAGATGAACCAATCACAGTGTTCTGCGAATGCATGCTCCTAGGCGTGCTCCTGTCCGACTCCAAAGACGCAGGCCTTGCCAACTGCTCCACATGCAATTCTGTCGCCACTCCGCCACTGGAAGGAGCTTTTCTTATCACCATAGGCTGATTTACACCACTAATTTGCCCTTCGGCAAATCTTTGAGGTTGAGAGTTCAAGGTAGAAAATTGTCGTTGCTGATCAAGGGATGGATGATCTCTTAGTTCAGCAGGTTTTTGTGAATAATTAACTTGTTCTTGAGGATCCAAATAATAAGTATGAGAATTATTTACTAACTCCGGCGTTCTCTGAGAACGATTAATATTGGTCATTGGTAATCGATTCATAACCGTGCCCTGGGCATTATGATGATTTTCCGCAACCATTCGCTGGGGTTGTCCCATTACAGTTTGTTCTTTGTAGTTTGTACGCAATTGAGAATTATTTATACTTGTCGGAATATAGTTTGTGTTAACATTTTGTGAAGGACTGATCGTGGTAGGACCAGGCCTTACCAAATTATGAGGACTTTGCGAAGTACTACCATGCATATTGGTAACTTGTTGGTTGTAGTGTGAGTCAATTGTTCGATGTGGCGATTGTTCCAATCGACCTTTTGAAACTTGAACATTACCACTCAAAACACGATTTGAAGCTGATGATGTATTGACACTACTAATTTGTTGCTGATAGTGCATTTGGGGATATTGTTGGCCGACCGGAGACGGAGATGGGTTCATTCTGTTCGTTTGCGGGTAATCTAGCCTTGTCATTTGTTGAGTATTCGAAGTACTCGATCTAATCCCATGGGGGGCACCCATGTGAGAATTACTATTGACAGGCGAGTGATCCACTCTGTGCATATTTCCATATGTATTATTCATTTGAGGATGATTTATTGCACTTCTTGCACTAATGTTATCTATTCGACTGACATGATGAGCTTGATTAAATCCACTGGGTTGTGAAGTGTTAGGAGCAGGTGAACGATCGACTCGATGAGCATAATTTGCACCAGTTTGGGAAACAGGAATCTGGGGATTATGATGATAATTGTTTGCTATATGATGGTAATTATTTGCACTAGCTTGATCAGTCCTATGCCCTACGGTTTGAGAATTGTATTCAACATGTCTAAGTTGACTGCCTTGAACGACAGTTTGGTTTTGATGCACATTTATCTGTTGAGTTCTGTTGTTGGTTGCCGGACTTACATTGTTACGATTAATATTTGTTACACCTGTAAGTTGTTGTTCATTCATATAGTTAGAATGTTGCATATTCCTCGGTTGAGGTGCACTTTGTTGTCCTTGATTCGGGTACGATAACGAAAGCGGAGATTTCGTGTAAGAATGTTGAATTATGTTGCTGTTATACATTACTTGCTGCTGCTTATCATTCATATCTGGTTGTTGAATATTTGTTCTGTTAATTTGTTGCTGTGGCTTATTCACCGGATACATATTCTGAGAGTACTTCTGTTGTGTATTATTTGTTGGCTGGGCGTACAGCATTTTATTTTGCTGTTCTGCATTCATACTAGCAATAGCTTCATAAGGCCTCTTCAAAGAAGTCATAGGAGCACTATAAGATGAAGTTACAGGCGTCAAATTATTATATGAAGCAGATCTAACGACAGTCTCTTGGGGCAACACATAGGTCCTCGGATTACTATTACTCCTATTTTGCATCAAGTGCAAATCATGCTGAGGAGTTGGTGGTCTCCAAATCGTGTGTGGCGTTGAAACTTTAGGTATCACCACCGAATTATTTTGTATTACATTGTCATAATTAGACACTGGTGTTTCGTCTATTACAAGTCTACATTCGGAGTCTGTGCTCATTTTGCGGACTGGAGGAGAACTCTGAGATCCATTTATCAATTCTGGTGACACAGGTTGTGGTAAGGCATTTTGCAAAACTTCTGGTATTTGTTCGATAGATCGTATGTCCTTCGTCGCACTATTATCAGTTGACACCAGAACATCTAATTTATTCGAACCACTCGAGTAATTGATAGAAGGACTACTTACTACAGGACGTGAGCTATTTGTTTCTAAAGGAATATCACATTTTGTAACACTTTGTTGTAATGTACTTGGTTTTGTTCGATCGTTTTCACTATTGTATTCACTTGAAACACTAACTAAAGGCGTCGTGGAACTACTCAAAGTACTTTGTTCACTTGATGCATCTTGAATTTTAATAGAAAGTTCTTTTGAATCCACGATGGTGGTGTCAACCCTTAAATCGCAATCATTAACTGGCGAAGTGCTGGTTTCACTATTGCTTGGATTATTGCTATTTGTCGTTGTATTATTAATAGTACACGTAGTGGTTGCTGGAACATTTTCATTTACCAAAGGGGTTGTAATAGGTGAAGCACTGCTAAATGTCGTCGTTGATAAAGAATTGAGAGATGCGACATTACTGGTTGTTATTATGGTATTGCTTGCATTATTGTCCGAAGAAACTGCATTACTGATTACGGTAGTTGTTTTTACAATAGTATCAACACTACTCGTTTGGCTGGTACAACTACCAACCATATTGTTAATACTAGTGCCGCCATTGTCACATACCGAATTTTGGCTAGTTTGAGGGATTGAATTTACAAAATTGCTTGAGCAAGTCGTGACAGCAGTTGCAATGTTGATACTTGCTGCTGAAGGGCTATTTGATGCTGGATTGCTGATTGTTGTAGCAACATCATTGTTACTTACAGCAGACAATTCGTTGTTGGTTTCTAAAATTTTGCTGTTGCTTGTCGTCACATCATCAGTTGCTTGTGCAACTGGATCCTTCTCACCTTCCAGGCCATTTACACTAACAACTCTTGTATCATTTACCACTTGATCATTTATCCCTGTGTCATTTATTCCAATATCATTTACCACTGTATCATTTGCCCCTATATCATTTACCACTGTATCATTTTTATCCTTTCCCTCGTCCCCTGTCGATTTTTTTCCGGAGAAGTTGCCCGTGTTGCCGGATTTCTGGACAGCCTCGGTTGCCGGAGGACTTTCGCTCCCGTTGTTATTGTTGCTGGTTGCAACTGTGGGAGTTCCAGCAACAATTTCTAATGTGGTTGTAGGTGTTGTTGTTGCCAAAATTGCGGTGTTGACAGACGGCGGAGACCGCTGCAACGCACCGTTACAGACGCGAGGCTCCATCGCCTATTGTATTATACATCTGGGGGAGGAAAGGAAATATGTAGAAAATTGAAAAAGTTGAATGAAATGAATTATTAATATACATATTTAAAAAAGTATGTCGATGTATTAGACTATCGGCAAGTTGCTGTATTATTACACTAAAGACGAGTTTAGCATTGCTTCTACTGATCAGGAAGATGGTATAATTAGATTCAATTCATTTAGGTTTTTGTATATTGATTATTTTCATGTATTTTTTATTTTAGTATATTGAGAAACGTCCATTAATCACATTTGGTCGACCTATGTGTATTTTTAATTACGAGAAAAAATTGTGATTTATTTTGAAAATATTCGGATTTTTTTTTTAAATTAAGGTAAAAATTAAATACACGGCATATCTTACTATACCCCATCTATTCCCATCAGTAAAAACTGGATAAAATGTACCAGAATCTAGTAAAAATTATAGTGTGTGCTTGGATATAAAATTTTAGAATAATTTGTAATTGAAATTTTAGTTTCATTTTTAGTATTTCCATTTGCAATATAAGGACTTAGTGTATTTTTTTCCTTTTCTTCAAATAACTTTTAATTTTCTTCTGGAACATTGCAATTTATTCGCATCAGTAAAAACTAGATATAATTCAGTAAAATATAGTAAAAATTATTTTATACACTTGGATATTAAAATTTTGAATAAAATGGGTTGTGTTGGCATTAAAGAGGCACTTTTATAGTTGTAATAATACTATCTACTTTAAAAAATTTATAGAATATTTTTAAGAAATTATTTACTATTCATAGCTTTGTATATTTTGTATTATCGAAGCACACAAATACCATATTTGAAGTTAGAATTAAAGGACCTTATCTCATAATTCAAAGATTCATATAAACTGGATTGTAAAGTTAAAATTATTTCTTTCAAGAGATAGAATTTAAATTAAAATACAAACCATTTTTGATAATAAATAAAAATTAGAAATTTGAAAAAAAGTTGCCTTCTTAAACTAAAAGGTTCCTCAAAAGCAAAATGTTCTTTGAATCATTCAAATCGAATGTATTGTACTTTCAAAAACTACAATTTTTTACACTTTTAGTTTCTTATTTCTGAAACGGCTGGGCCTACCTACGCAAAAAACTAATCAATTCGTCATTACATCAACACAAGTAAAATATTTTTTGAATCATTCATATTGGATGCTCCATTCTCTCAAACTTTTAATTTTCATTGTTTGCACTCTTTGCTCTGTCCAAAATGGCTGGACCTGCCTTTGCCAAAAACTTATCAGCACGTCTCCAAGAATCAAATGCTTTTTGAATAATACAAAATGGTGATTGTGCACGGATGATCCGTGCTCCCGAAATCGTGGACAAAAAATTATATCCATACACACACACACGTGGACACACATCAATTTTTTCGAGGTATGCCAAAATGTTCATAAACCTCTGAAACGTAAAGATATGCAAAAATTTCATTCTCGATTTTTGGACAATTACGATAACTTATGCTACGAAAAGTTAATAAAAAAACAATATTCATAAACAATTTCTTACATATTACTCAAGTCAATGGAGCGTTTTGGGTCTGAATTTTTTTACTGTGCTCCGATTTGCATAAAATTTTGGAATTAGGTTCATCTTGCCCTCAAGTTCAAAAGTGAAAACAATTCGGACTCCGACACCACCGATAATAACAGTAAAAACTAGCTGTAAGTGGAATTCTATCTTAAGGCAATTAGGGCATCGTGCCTTAAGGCAAATTGCTGTAACTTCCCGTACCAAAAATTATTATTTTTTTTAAAAACGATTAACATTTTTAAAAAAAAATTACTTTGAAAAAAATAAGATTTTTGAGAAACTATAAATTGGACAAAAAATTAGTTTTTTTTGAAAAAAAAAAATTTTTTTTTTAAAAAATTTGTTTTTTTTGAAAAATTTTTTTTTCTTTATTTTGACATATTGTGGAAGATCTGAACTTTCTTTTCAAAGCAATCAATCGTACTGCTTTAACTACATAGGGACAAAATATAAAGCGCGTAAGCGCCGCGTCGCTGTCTAAAGCATAAGCATTGGTACGGAACCCATAGGAATGTTAACAATTGTATACTTATTGTTAAAATCTCTATAAAATGTCTGATAATTTGATGTGCATATGTCTAATGATCATTTTTGACCGCCAAATGGCTCATTTTTTTACTTTTTCCTCTATATCTCCGAAACCGCTGGATCTACCTTCATGAAAGTTGTATCGATTCTTCATCTTGTCAATACAAATAAAATGTTTTTGGAATTATTCAAATCGGACGCTTCGCTCTCTTAAAAACTGAGTTACCGTTTTCGGAACTTTTTGCCCCGTATCTTCGGAACGGCTTGACCTGCCTTTGCCAAAAACTAATCAGCACGTCTCCTTATCAATACGGATCGAATGTTTTTTGAATTATTCAAATCGGTTGATCCGTATTCCCGAAATCGTCGACGAAAATTTGTATCCGCACATACATACACACACGTACATACATACACACACACACACACACATACATCCATTTTTTCTAAGGTATGCCAAAATGTTCAGAAACCTCTGAAACGTAAAGATATATAAAAATTTTCATTTTCGATTTTTTTGCGATTACTATAACTTGCCCTACGGGAAGTTAAAAATCAGAGGTTATACCCTTTTTTCCTCTCCGTTTTCTGCACTATATAAAAGAATCTAAAATTCAATTATAATATCCCTTTTTTGTTCGTACCTTAGCCAAGAAACGCACCTCGCTTTTACTAAAATCAATATCAGTAGAGTCTAAAAATACAAAAAAATGTCATTTAAACATTTTCATCAGGCACCTGCACCTTGTTTACGTGTCCGAACTCTGCTACAAGTGTCCTTTTGTATAAACATATAGATAAAACGAACGCATCAACTAAATAAATAAATAAATAAATAAATAACTGAAATACGAACTTGTCGTTGTCGTTGTCTCTTACAATGTACTATGACTATGTACTTCTACTACTTACGACAAATACATAGAAGAATAAATTTCTATTTGTATATAATAGCTCTGTGCTCGCTCGTATAATTAATCTTGACCTATAAGCCAGATGTAGTACGACGACTACATACTAACACAAAGATAATATACGACATAGACAGGGAGCTGGCCGGAATATTACTCATTACTATATTCAATCAAGTGGGAAAAACCATTAAGTTAGTTTTTTTTTGATTTATTTTTCATAGCAAGCTATACAAAGTACATTCAACTACATATTGTTACAGTTATATATTGCTATCCTGCGATAGCACCTTCTTAGATGTTATATTATATTTTGTAGTAAATCATTGCAGATTCTTAGTATTCTTCTTCAAGTTAGTATATGATAGTTGCAGATAAAATTACAATCTGGTATATATTTTGTTAAATTATCTAACAGATTTCTATTACGACTAATAAGGTTATATTAGAAACCGTCGTTTGGCATTGCTTCGTGGGGGGAGGATCTAGAATTCTATGATTTTCTCTCTTAATTATACTTTCCTCTTTCTTCTTCTTTCTGAGTCCCTTATAAGTTTAAGCCCTTAGCCCATATAAGTTCAAGTTTAAATTATTTAATAATTATTTTTCCAAACAAGTTTTTTTCTTGCGTTTAATTTAACAAATTGCAAAAGTTCAATGACAATCTAAAAATGTATACCTTATATGTATAACTATTTTTTAGCTTCCCGTAGGGTAAGTTATTGTAATGGGCCGAAAATATGAAAATTTTAACATTTCTCGACGTTTTGAAGGTTTCTGAACATTTTGGTATACCTCAAAAAAAATGGATGTATGTGTGTATGTATGTATAAATACAATTTTTCGTCCACGTTTTCGGGAACACGGATCAACCGATTTGAATGGTTCAAAAAACATTCGATTACTATTGATAGGGATATGTGCTGATTAGTTTTTGGCAAAGGCAGGTCCAGCCGTTTCTGAGATACAGAGCAAAAAGTGCAGAAAATAGAAATCGAGTTTTTGAAAGATCGGAGCATCGGATTTGAATGATCTAAAAAACATTCAATTTGTAATGATTGGGAGAAGAGGTGATTAGTTTTTAGCAAAGGCAGGTCCAGCCGTTACGGAGATACAGAGCTAAATGTGCAAAAAATAGCAGTTTTTGAGAGAACTAAGCGTCCGATTTGAATGATTCAAAGAACTTTCTGCTTGTGTTGCCGAAACGATTGCTTTTTAGGAAAGATTTTTTTATTTCAATTTTTTTCTTTAATTTAGAAAAAAATTAATATAAAAAAAATCGGATTCTAATTCTAATTCTAGCTAAGGTTCTAAACATCACTTATAATCTTCAAATAAATCATTTTATTATTACATTATATTATTTATAATAATTTATATAAAAATATTTAATATTCCTCTGATATTTCATTAAGTTACGGGAAGTTCCGGCAATTTGCCTTAAGGCACGATGCCATACACTGGTTTTATTACATTTTATGTGCATAATTATAAGTGTTTTTTTAATAATATGCCAAAAGTATAATATAATATAAATAATAATATAAATCGTACTTTATATACTTTTTATTAAAAACATGTAAAAAAAAGTGATTTTGTGAATACTTATTCCCATATTTATAAATATTCTTACTAAATTTTATAAAATTATAGCAAAACAGTATACATTTAGAATGTAAATTATTGAATAATTTTTTTTACAAATTATTTATTGACAAATA